TATGGATGCAGAAAATATTTAATAAGCAAACGGCTGCTGTTTTCGTTTGGCGAAAAAATCGAGGAAAATCGCCGTCAAGAGGAAATTTTTCAAACAAACGCTAGAGACAGATGCATAATGAGTACGGCGCGCAAAGCATGCTAGTGAAACATCCTCCTTTAGTATAACTCAAGGCATTCTACTATTATCGCAGCATAATTTTTTACTATACTCACATTATCATCGTCATCATCATCTTCCCAGGAGTGTGCTGTCTTCATGCCAGTTGGTAGAGATATCGGCACTGATGTTGAATATACATGGGGCTTCTTTACTGCTGCAATGTTACGGAGTATCGGTGTATCTGTTTCACTTTGAAAGCTGTTATCTGCTGTGAAAATATATTAAGAATGTAAATCACCTGAAGTATAGAAGCGTAATATCTGAGCAGTATTGAGCACTGAAAACTCAACCTCTGGAATGACCTAATAAAGCCAGAACATGGTAAAGTTACATATGAAATTTGGGTTTAGTGTTCGATTTTATGGAGCAAGTAAAACTGTGGAATCAATGGAAAATCCTTTGCATAATTGTAATGTCATTGGTCACGCTACAACTAAAGCTGTGGAGTCTAGAGAAAAATCCTTTGACTAAATCCAGCCTCGAAATCAGGCTCTCCATCTCTAAGCAAGAACTCCATCATGTAAATCTTAGGTTATTTCTTTATTCATGAGCATCCTTATGTAAATAGCTTTGCTTTGTTAGTTTGTTTTACTTGTGAAGGAAGAGAGTAGATACTCTCGAAAAATGTTCAAATAAAATGATTATGAGACATAAAAATGTTGTTCACTATGCAATACTTACCACTACTGAGATCCTCTTCTTCTGACTCAAAGAAAGGTTCACAGTCATTAGTAAAGCCATCAAGAGGAAACATAGGGTCGGTGTCAGATGCAGTAGGCTGCGTCTTCACATGCACCTTATGCACAGGTGGTCGATGCCTTTGCATGTTAGAAGATTGATTTCCTGGCGAACCAGCCATGAATTTCCCAGATGGTTTTGATTGGTAGTCTCTCTTCACATGAGATTTCTTTACAGGAAGGGGAGTTGGTTTCTTAAATTCAAGTCCATGAGGATATTTTTGGTCTATACTGGGTAGAGAATCTGACTCCAGTGTTTCTGTCATAGCTTCGTGTATCGAACTTTGCATCAAGCGCTCTTCGGTATCACTTAAAACACTGTAGAACAACAAAAAGACGGGCAGATCAAGTAAAAATTTTGTTTCTACATCGTGCACTTCAAAATAATTTTGTGTTGAAGTTCTGTAAATGTAGTTAATTTCACTCTGATAATATATACCTAAAAATAGCTGATTTATCTTGATATGCCCTGGATTTTAGAGAGGAAAATAATTCTTTTTGTTCTGCAGTATATTGCTTTATTCTCTCATTCACTGCAGTTTCCTCTGCCTTTAAGTATTTCTTGATTAATTCTTGGATAAGATTCATGGAATGAGTCAGTTGATCCTGTCCAAGTAACACTGGTTTACCTACATTAAAAAAAAATTGTTACTTCACAAAATCAATTAGTTATTTGTATTAGGCCTAGAACAGACGTCGAACTTTCCATGCACCAAACTCGTTAAAAACAATGGATATCAGGTGATAATGAGGTGGCATTCTTTGATGTAATTAAGTTAGGTGCATAGAAAAGTTCGACGTTTGACCTAGGTTCGTTAGGCCTAACTTTTTTTAATCACCATTGGCATCATTTAGCATGTCATTTTTACAATATTTTTATTGTTGATGTCTCACCTTCCTCGTTTTCAGCCTCTTTTGATTTCTTGTTCAATATTATCCTGAAAGCTGGTGAAAAATCAGGTGAACTTTCCAGTTTCTTGATCACTTCCACATCACTCTAACACAATAAAAAAACAGATTGAAAAATACAACATGAAATATTTCAAATAATTTTAACTATAGTTCTTTATTTTGGGAAGCATGGGTGGCGTAGCGGTGTGAGCGCTAGCCTCTCATCAATGCGACCCGAGTTTGAGCCCCACTGGGTTCAGTGTTGTATATGAGTAGAGTTTTCCTCCCTCCGTAAAAATCAACTCCTAAATTCCAATTCGATCACGGAACGAGGGCCACAGGTTTGTTAGCCACTGGCTATTAAGTGCTACCCTCGTGAAAAAAGGATGTTTTTTTTTCATGTAATGTTTTTCAAATTTATGCTTTGCTTTTGCAAGGCTGCAATAATGTGGGTCATCAGACAAATGTCTAGTAAAAATGACCACTTAATTGGTAAATAATTTGCCTTGGCTGGACATTTCACCAAGCACATTTCATCACAATACAATTTTATAACAATAGACCTATCCCGAATTCGCTTGACTGACCATGAAACAATGGTTTGAAGTCAAGACTGAACTTGATTCTTTTATTCATCAAGTTCAACCTCGACTTGAAACCATTGTTTTGTGACCAGTCAAGCGAATTCGGGAAAGGTCTATTGTTGCTGAAAAGCCTTTTTAAAGGAGTCTCAATAAAGTGTATATATATGTAATATGTAAGTAAATAACCAGCTAACTAAGCTTAATTATTGATGAAAAGTTTTCTGATATTAAAAAGAATTGTTTGGTCGCATTTGGGTTTTGAAGGTCAAATATACAACTGCCCTGGTAAATGAAAATTAATGCTTAGGAATGGAGTATTAGATAATTGATGGAGGGGTTGCAAGAATTTTGGTTGCATGATGTTTATTTTTT